ATAGCTAGACTATTTTATGTCGTAATAGATAATAATTAATAATCAATGGAATTATTCTTTATCTTCATTATTCAATCAAGAATCCTGCTGAATCCTATAGCAGGGTATTACGACAATCCGCAAAAGAAAAGATAGAATAAGAATGAAGATAGAAGAAGAATGATCAATGATGCGAATCGATATTAACGCTTTCGTATACGTTCCCGCGGTATACGTTTCCACGGTTAGCAGTTCCAACGTCCAGGACATCAGAATGGATGGAGAGGTGTAAAGATAAGATGGGGCGATTCAGCGCTGCAGTGGACAATCGATATTATTGTACCCTTGGGAAGAGCTCGGACCAATCCTTACGCTCGAACGTGGTAATCCTGCGGGATGGCACGGCTTCGATATAAAGGAAAAGAATCGTTAAGAATAACAGTTATCGCATTTCCTATCGCAGAAGAGCTCAGAAAGACCTAAGTCTGCTTGCAACGATGATCTTTCAAGCGATCCGAAAGTTCAATCTTGCTTCGGGGCGATCTAGTCGAATGTTAAAGAAAGAAACTGATGCTAAATCCTATAGCGCCGCCGTTTTGAATACTTTAAGTTAAGCAGCCGCTTGAATACGCTAGTCACTCGTGCTTAGTGCTTCTGTCATCCTCGAACATGAGTTTTCTTATTGTATGTCAAAGACGCATATAGCGACATTGACTTGATAGATTAACATAAGCGTAAATTGATAGATTAAGCAAAAAGATTTTCCTTTTTCGTGATAAAAGACGTTAGGTATACCAAACGAAATATCCTATCAAAATTGAAGCGAACTCGCGATAGAACTAAATCAAAAATAAAAATACGTATCACAGTTCTAAATTTTACCAAAATAATATATTGTATAAGGAAAATTTGCAAATTTTTCTTTTCAGAACTCTCGGATTTTATCTATCACAAATTCTTAATTTTTAGTATTAAATATCTTGAAAATTAAAAAATTGTACTAAATGTCTAATAAATTTTAAAAAATGTTGCTGTTATATATGTATAAATAAATATATGTAAACATATTTATTAGAATAAGGATAACAACCTCTCGCAAGAGGTCAGGAATCTCTATCAAATTATATTATAATTCCACGATAATCTTAAATCTTATTTTGCTTTAATTCTTGAAACAAAGAAAAGCAAAATGAAATTTTATGAACAACTTATATGGCTATGTTTCAAATGAAATGTAATGCAAACAGATTATTTATACTTTTGATAAGAATTTAAAACGAAGCATCAGATACATATTTTCTTGAAGCTCACATATTTTCTATCCTCTCCGAGCTACGCAACAAAATTTGCTTGGAGAAAAGATACAAAAATTTAATCAACATTAATAAAGAGCGAGATTTCAGGGTTTTTTTCATAACGTAATATCTTAATTTAGTCAAATTCTTTAATTTTAGGCCTTGAAATACTCTTAAATCGTTTCTCGCCATAATCCCAATTTCATTTAATTTAATTCTTCGCTATCTAGTGCTTAAAAGCACGTCCTTTTTCTAAGCATCCTTGATATATTACGCAAAAACTTATAAAACTTAGATGAACATGATAAAAAAAATCTTGTAAGCGAGATAAGCCAGCAAAAGGTTTCAAGACCGGAAGTCAAACTTCATTGAAGAAGTGTTACGCTCCTACAGTGTAACCTTGAAAAAAAAATTTTGAAAGTGATCCGCTAACTCGGACCGAGAACGTTTCGCGAACTTTGAGCATGTCAGTCACGTACTAAAGCTCTCCGGGGAAAATAAATCGAATTTCAAAGTCAGAAGTACAGAACCCAATAGTGCGACATTCCCACGGGGAGAACTTTTGTCCTGGCAGCGGAGAATCCTGTATCTTGCATTCTCGAACTATTGCTCTTTGAAACTTGAATACTGATCAACCTCAACCGACAGTCAAACAGTGACGAAGAAAGATGTTCCCATTATTGAAATCCCAAGACAAAAAAAAAAAATGCTGCTTCTAAATGCCACTTTAAAGACTCAATTTAATTTAAAAAATATTTAAAAGCTTTCATAATTTGTCAGATATTTCTCAAGCATAATTTGAAAATTTAGAGTGATTTAGACGGCTATATACTTTATCAAAAATGAGAATGATTCGATAAAATAATAAAAGATAGGATCAATTTCCTATATTTTTCTTACAGTAAACTCACGATATTTTTTAAGATTTATTTTTACAAGACGAAACAACGACATATATACTGTACATATTTCTTTTCATTCGTGTGTATAGATTTAAATTAAATAAAAAAAACAATATTCAAATAGAATAAAAAGAATGAATACGCTGAAAAAAAACGTTAGAACTATAGCTTAACCAAAGAAAACTGTACTCCTAGTTGAATACTCAAAATATAAGTGTTAGCCTTCTAAATTTCACAAATATAATATTCGCACTGAAAAAATAACGTTCATCATATAAGCGCGAGCAAATATAGATGTATTTTAAAAATAGAGAATCGTTAAAAACTAGACATTAATTTAAGGATTGTAAATATATTTCTATATCTACGAACTTATCAAATAATATATATGTCAACTTTAAATACTTCTCTTTTCCCCTGCTGCAAAAAATTATTTATTTACAGCTTGTACGATACTCTTTACTCGATAAGAGAATACCGATAAATTAGTGGCACTGTCCAATTCGTAATTTAGTTTACGGGTAACTGTACAAAATAAGATACTGTAAAATTAAATTAAAATTAAATTTAAATCTTAACAATTTCCGAACATATTCTTGCTAAAGGGAGAAGGGAAGAAATTAGATTTAAAAAGAAAAACAGAGGGAAACAAAACGCTCTCATAACTATACGATAAATAAAGAGATTTGCCATTCTAGTCACGAAATTTCTATCAAATCCATTACAAATATGTATACTCATAATATATATGATCTGTATATACGCTATACAAAACCATCTTGCTGTTTATCATATCCTATAGCTATCTCGACATTCTTGTAAATATGACATAGGAATCATCAAATAGTGAATGGCTGGGAAAAACTGCACGGATTTGTGTATGTTTAATTAGATAAGGATATTAAATGTAAAATTTATTCCAAAATTTTTTTAATTATTAAACGCCCTTTTATGTTTTTCCCTTTATATATGTCTAATGATACATGAAATAAATGAAAATCGAAATATTTATAGCACTTAATAAAAACTGAGACATATGTATGAATTCTAGATATAATTTTCTTTTATAAAAAAAAAATTGTGATCCTTGTATTGTATATGTAGGCTTTTATTCCATTGCCAAAGCATATTGTAAACATTTGTTTTCACGTAGCTCTCTATCTAGTCCTCTATCCTCTTTATAATCTAACGCAGCTAGAAACACATTTCGCCACTCGTGTAAACGATGTCCTTACCACTCAAATGTGCTTTCAATCAATTTTATTGTACATAAAATAAATTCGCACAATCGATGCACGAGTTACAATTATTCAATCCCTCGTAACAAGATGTTAATCCATATTCCATACAGGACCAACATTCCAACAAGGAGAAAGATTACAAAGTATCTATCTCTGCTTAGAATTCCACCAACATAGTTATATCTGTATATATCTCTTAAAACATTGAACAAGGCGTGATGAATCAAAGAAAATTAAATCATAGCTTTCAAAATATTAACTGAACAGGAACGGAGTAAACATATGGTGAAATATAAGTATACGATAGAGATTAAATGTACCCTGTTTATCTCTCTCTTCTGTCAGCATTCTGTTTTATCTAATATTCACCTTCTATTATTATATTCTATTCTATTTCAGTAAAATAAGCAACAAATATGAAACCACTTTCCTGATGGCGACTGTTGAATGTCATACATTACGTTCGTTCTTAGCAAACGGTTATCCATGGTTATTAAACAGTTACGGACTAAACGGAACGAGCACCAAGAATGAGATAGATTTACAAAAGGATCTTTCGACTACATTTATTTGAAGAATATTATGACACGGCATACGTATCGTTATTACATAATGCGACTGCGGTCCCATCCACGAGTTACGTCTTTTTGCTCTTCGACCTTATATAGAAGTACAAGACGATCAATCCTATACCAGCGTACGTCGCCTTTGTCACCTGCAAAATAAATCGGGCGCTCGAAAATCCATTCGTAGGCAAATGAAGAAACTCGTCGCGAGCCTCGTACAATAGTCGACGGACAATTTTAAGGTTAGGTCACACTTACGTTCGCCCGACCGTACATGGTTTGGCTGTTGAAGTGTTTCGCCAAACCCGCGAGCTTCTCTTCGCCCTCGGCCATTTTTTCACGGTGGAAAATTCGATTCCAAACGCAAAAATTCTGACAGAAAGATCGCGGAACGTCGTCGTGCCGCGAACTCGCTCCTCTTCGATCGTAATCGTCCGCTGGACGCCATGTTGCGAGATATATCGAGACATCGAGAGCGGATCAGCGGATCGCGAGATATTTATATCTTGAACTTCCTGTCTTTGAAAAGAATGAAAAGTATTCTCGCCGAGATAATCTTTTATATTTATAAATATTGCTTGCAAAAAACTCAACAATCTCCAAATTTCTGGGATTTTGTTTAGCAATATTTCTAACCTTCTCGAGATTTCTCGTCAATTTGCCTCCATGAGGTAAATATGAAATTATGATTTAATGTAATTTATCATCTTTTATAATTTATAATAAATTATCTTATAATATTTACGATGGACATTTGTATTGTATCTTGTGATATTTATAATAATCATTTATATTGACATTACACTTATGATTAAAATTTACCTTATACTATTTACAGTATTTACGATAATTATATATTTATCTCTGACATTTAATATAAAATTTAAATATTACTATAAAAAATATATAGAGATCATATTGTGCAACGCGCAGCAACAATTATTTCCTTAAATTATAAGAAAACAGCTTAATGTAAATCTTGGTACATTCAAATATTTTTTTCATTTCTAGAAAAAAGGCACTTGATAAGAACCTTTTTAATGTTCAGGATATTTCCCAGGCAGCATCGTATCCAAGATCGAGACATAAGACGTCTTTTAGACCTCATATCATAAGACGTTTTAAAGATATCTTAAAGACGTCTTGTGTCCCGATTTTGGACATGCATGCTGTCTGGGTTGACACAGATGGGTATAATAATCATCGCAAATCTTTTTTTTTTCAACGATATATTTAGCTTTTCTTTACTAAATATATTGTAGCAGTTCTTACGCTCATTATATATCTTGTCATCATATAAAAAATTACAAAAACAACTCTTATTATTACTTAAGGCATACTTAATCAGGTAACAACAATGACTGATCTAATTGTAGGATTATATATACTTAATCGCCTAAAATAATAGTAAAATAAATGAAAATATAAATCAACTAGGTAGAGACGACCAAGAGCAAGAATACTCGTTCTGATGTAGTGAGATTAAACTGTCCTTACACTGAACTTTTCTCTTTCTTCTAAGAGCCAATTACTGAAGAAAGAAAAGTATGGCAAGATATAAAAGAAAAGCAATTTTACTCACGACATCTAAAACCGGACAGCATCTTTGCTCACTACTGATATGTTAAGTATTGTTTTATACCTCATCACGATTATATATAAATTCCAAATCAACATAGGCAGTATTACAATTTAAAATATAAAGAATGCAGAGTAGCTTTAAGACACAACATAAATATCATTTGTCCTCGTTATATATATAAACGTCAAAAAGAAATTAAACTAAAACATTCTTATACACTGTTATAAGTACGGCAATTATAGTAATTTCTTATCAAAGGAAATATTGATAAATGTCACATTATTTGCAACAAAACCATACATCACATTAAACATCAGTCAAAAGAAGTTAATAATAAATCACGAGATTCATCTGCTCACTAGAGCAAAGCTTTATAAATCTATATATGTCAAATATTCATATATAATTTGAACATAGTAGAATACGTCGTCTCAAGTCGCGATAAGTGACAATCAACATCTAGAAAAAAAAAAAAAACTACATTAATCAAATGTTCCATATTTTCGTGGAGACTGGAGAATACTTGGACAAATAATATTCGTACAAATAATATTATTCATCTTGATAACGATAAAAAAAATCTTCCGAATTGTTTTTTATTCACGAGAATATTATATTACATATAAATCGTCGTTTGTGCATTCACTTCATCAAAATCTATTTCAAAAAAGATTCACTTTTAAGACGTCACATTAAGACAGCACTCACCCACAAGGTAGATAGAATGGAACCGTCCAGAAACTCGTTTTTTTTAAAAGCATTCCCTATTTCTTCACGCGAGACTATTTTCAGTCTGTGCAATAATGCCAACGCGGATTGCAACGAAATCAAACTAATGGAGACAATCCGTTTTTCAGAATCACGGGGAACATTTAGGGGATACCTAGAATGGCAAAAGTATATTCTCACATGAATATTTGTAAATATTGTAATTGTAAATGTTATGCGAGATGACGCACGGCTCCGTCTAAGAGCGATCGACTCGTAATCAGGAAGGTTTCCAGTCCAATCCCGACTGTTATCCCATATGTGCCTCAGTTTTATAAGTTTTATATTGATTGTGTTCAAAGTGAAGTGATGAGTGAAGGAGTAGGAAGAATATAAGAGAAATATAACTTGTTCAAGAAATCCAAATTATTTCAATAAAATTAAAAATGGCAATTGTAAATATGAAAATATTGCAAATTTACCTGTCCAATTGTGAAAATTGTACTGGATATTCAGATCTCTGGATTTCTTTGAAAATAACTTTTATATTCATCGCTTCTAATGTGGCCAATAAACGAGATTGCAACTTGAGATTCGTAAAGGCCTCTACAAACTCGCATGTCAGTATCCAACCATCCTGTTCGATGTTAAATATAAACGTCACACCTTTAACTGAGTCTATGAAGAAATTACTAATAATTAGTTCCGTACATAATGTCAGAAGACAAACGGGTTCAATCTAAATCAGCTATATATTTAAGTGTAGTGTCGTACCAATTTTCTGGAATACAAAAGAGTCGATGTCACGAGTTCTCTGCTGAACGGATCCATGTTCGATGTTGCAGGACTTCGCATAACTATCTATTGGCTTCTCTTTGTCGTGGCTGTCTTTAAATTTAAAAATGTTGCTCGAATCGGTCGCTTCAGTCATCTCTCGAGGTGCGAACCTTCTGCTGTTATCGCAGTTCCAGTCTTGACGGAAGAAAGTAGTCGGTGTGCCAAACGCAGGGTTCTCATTGTGATTCGATACAGGAACGCTGTTTTGGAACTTTAAATTGGCCCAATATTCTGGAACCTCGGTTTGAGTCCAAGATTGCGACGACACAGGTTGTCGCAAATTGTTCACGTTACTGTTTTGCTGGTAATAAGTCGGTTCACCTTTTATTATCGGCTGTGAGCCCTGCGTGTAATATGCAGGTGGTCGAGTGACATAGTTCTCGTCAACTTGCGGGTTATCTCTCGTTATCTGATTTGTCACTTTGTGCTGCTGCGTGTACGAAGCAGCAATATCGTTCGCAGCCTGCGATGTCGGTTTCTTATCTTGTCTTAATTCGCGAGATTGAGCGTTCTGAATGTTATCGGAATTATTACTGCATGTGTTTTGCCTTGCATCTGCGTTTACTTGCTGCTTCTGCGTATTATACATTACCGGACCGGATTCATAGACCATTTTCGGAGTGTAATTTTCACTGACATGAGCATTCAAAATGTTATCGAGATTATTGCTGCATGTATTTTGCCTTGCGTTTGCGTCCGCTTGCTTCTTCTGCGTATTATAAATTACCGGACCGGCTTCGTAGACGATTCTCGGAGTGTAGTTTTCACCGACATGTCCCGCAGGCGTAAAGCACGTGCTCCCCGCGTGAATATTCACAGTTTCCGTTTTTGGAGCGTGGCTGTTCTGTGGATTTTTTGCCGAGAAATACGATGTGATATCAGTATCGTAGTTATGAAACGTACGCTCATTCTGCGTCTCCGGTACCTGCATCCTGTTAGTCATATAAAACTTGAAGGGATTTGTATCTTTGAGCATATTGGCGAACTGAGTATTTACGGTCTCCAGAAATTCCGAGGAATTACTGCTAGCACTCGTTGGGATCGCTGGAGATACTGGCGTCACAGGAACATTTTCGTCATTCTGATTGGTGTTTGGAATGAAGGTACTAGCTGGTGGTATGTGATTAATGAATGTTGGAGGTGCAGGACTACCAGTTGGAGGAGGCATTTGCGGAGAAGGCATTTGCATATGCGGATTGAGCTCGTCCGATTGGTTCCAGTTGGTTTTAAAAGTAAAACCGTCTGAGCTGTAACTCGAAAACGCGGCGTTACTCTGTGGTCTGTCATCGCCGTTAGCGCCAAACGGATTTGACATCGAGATAGTATTTGCATTGAAGTCCTTCGTGAAAGTTTCACTATTTAAATTATACGACGCCTTCGGCGCGGAACCAGCATCGTTCAATGTCGTCCCGCTCGCAGGATTGGGCGTTGACGGAGTTTTCGTGCCAGTGGAACAATCACTTTTTTGTTCTAATAAAACATTCTCCACAATCGTCAAAATTTTGTGCAACTGAATCAGATCCTTGAATGCGATTGAAGGTTTTAGCAGCTCATAGAGGATATCAGTCACGCTACTCTGCAGCTTCTTGCTCTCATTCCAGAGTGACATGTATATCTGTTTGGCATTATCATAAATAAGTTCGTCAGTCAGGAACGGATTCGTCGTCGCCTCCGCGTTGTTAAAGACCGACGCCTTAGCGTTCAACGTATTCGCGAAGGAATAAACGTTCTGGAAGTTTGTCGATGATAAGTTAGGCGGAACGCGTTGTTCACCGAGAGGCGGAAAACCTGGTGGCGGTCTCACTGGCTGTTGCTGATGATGACTGTCATAATGTAGCGTTGATTTCGGGGAAACCAAAGGTACCTCGAACGTCTCCTCTGTCGATGTTGCTTTGCAGCAGTTGTCGGGCATCAGGTTCTCCTCCGCGAAGCAATATGTTGGTAATTGGTTCAAATTGTTTCGCACATACTTCATTATGCTAGCCATGTCGACGGCATCAGCCTGAGTGACGAAAGCAAAAGGGAAAAGATCAGATAAAGTGATACGTCTGATAAAGTCGTAGTAAAATTTTTGATTTTAGAAAATAAAAGTGAATGTACGGATATCAATCAATCTCTGAATATCTGAAGATGCTCAAAGTATAACAACCGATTAAATTAGGCAACTATAAGTGATAATTCGGGAAAAATTATCACTTTATGAGATCATATTGTTTTTATACTGACTAGTATAATAATTCCACACACGCATACTTTTTACAGACTCCAAATTCTTTATTACAATGTAATAGAACGACAGCCATGACGACATCATACAAGATTCAAATTTTTCCCAAAATTAAACTAAACTGATATCCTAATATATATTATATATTACATAATCGCAAAATAGTTACAAATATATATAACTTCTGATAACATGTATATTATTAAGATCACATATACATATATATTTATACATATATTTTGTGTGTGTGTGTGTGTGTGTGATTATAATTATATTATAATATATTTCACACGCATTTTTTAAGTAAAAAAAAAAAGATAAGAAAGCTGATCGTATATATAATTTATGATGATATATAATTTATTATATTCGCTCTCGTGGCGTCAATTTTCAAATTTATTGTTCTAGATTTAAGTTAATTGCGTTGCTTATATTATGTGCGCGATGTAAAAAGGAAATTGAGTCTTCAATAGATCCTGCACAAACATCCCATCCGTCATCGGATTCTACATCGCAGTCATTGACGACCGGAGCAAATGCTATTTCGGTCACGTTCGCGTCATCATTCATCGATTTGCACGTTTCGGATACGAAATCTGATTTAATCGATTCATTACCCCTCTTACTTTCGTCACTTTTATCGTCATTGATACTTTCTCGACTAGAAGTCAGATCGTCAGAATCCAATTCAGTGTTGTTATTCTGTATATTTTTCACGATCTTTAACATCTGTTGCATTAGTTTCGGAACGTCCAACGCCGTCTGATCCGTCGCATGCAATTGATATTTTGAATCATCAATGTTACAGGATACAGGAATAGAATCAGACCGATTCAACTGATGCTGTTTCGTGTCATCAACATTTGAAGCACGTGAATCAATTTCCAAGGACTGATTCAACTGACGCTGCTTTATGTCATCAACGTTAGAAGAAGCAAGAGAATCTGTTTCTATGGATGAAAAAGTTGTTACTGTGGAATCATTATGTGATTCATCTAATGTTAACTTTTTAGGCAACTCCTCGGACATTGACTTCTTAACCAAGCTGTGTATCTTGATGCGATTATTTATATCCATACAGTTCGATGCCTTAGATTGTTCGTCGTTTGATGATATAATGATGCTATCATTGGATGTATTGAAACTGTAAGACGACGATCGAATTTGCTCGCTGCTAGAAGATTCACTTGAGTCAACGAAATTGAAGTTTGTCTTGCGACTTAATTTGTCCAGTAGCCTCTTGTATCCAGGAATGCATGCTTTATTATTTGTACTGGACGCAAGGGAATTGTTTGTATTGCGTCCAGACATTTCTTTGCTCATATTATCTTTATTAGATATATTAGAAAAAACTGACTCCGGATCTGTATTGGAATTTCCGTCCTGTATTTTCAGATTGGCCTTTGTTTCGCATACTTTGCCATTTCTGTCTACTTCTCGATTAATTTCCCTCGAAGAAGTTACGTCATTGAATTCAACGATATTTGTACTGGATTTTGATGTATCTTCAGATTCAACACTATCATACAATATCTTCATCGTCATGGGTTTAAACCTTACTGTGACAATTTGGTTGGGTGTTGTCTTGTCTCTCATCATTTTTATAAAATCGGTCATATCGTCAAATCGCTGAGAAATATTATCCTCAGGCAGAGAAATATTATCCTCAGGCAGAAAAATTTCCTCTTCCATACGGGTCATGTTTAAAAAATATTGTTCGCCAGGTGTCTCATTTCTCTGATTATGCGAGCCTGATTTATCTTCTACGTCGCTCTTATGTTCTTTACTTGACATATCTAAATTATCAGGTACTGTATCAGTTGTTTTATTCTCCTCTCTTATTACCGACCAATCAAAGGGCTCCATCAAACCATGTCCACCATACAAACTCCTAAATGTTCCAAAATCTTTCGTATCATTATTTTCATCATCGGAATCTCTCATACTGAAGTCCATATAACCGGGAGAGTTATATATTTCACCGTTATTCTGCAATTTTACTTCCCTACTTGAATCGATTTGTCTTGCATTATCTTCCTCTGTGTTTGTCCCGGACATGGAAGTGCTCGGTTCAGAATCGGATTTCCGATTATGACTCAACGTTTTCGATTTTTCCAACAATGGAACTTTCGTAGGTGTCCTCGACTGCCCAGTTTGCGGATAATTTCTCGACTGCGATCTAGTATCCAAAGCCTCAGTATCCGGAGACTTAGCATTTAAAGACTTAGCAGACGAAGATTTGTCATGCAAAGATTTAGCATCCAGCGATTTACTGCATACCCTTAGCAGGAACACTTTTTTGCTGTTCGGGACGTTATGCAAGGACTTGACAGTATTGTTTTCGATATCTTCGCTTTTTACATCGGATAATCTATGCGCTCTCTCATCACGCGATATCAAATTATTTCTATGTCGCGATTTATTTATATTGTCTGCGCTTCCCGCATTAAATGTCTTAATAGACTTAGAAGATTTGATTTTATCGGATGTCATATAATGTATTATGTCAAACATACGCACCGTGTTACCCACTTGCGCTAGTCTCTCATTCACTAACCAATCGTTTATACGCACATCCTCTTCTTCGCTTGTATCGGTCAAAATGACCATCATGGAATTGTGCTGTAAAAACAATCAGATAAATAATTTTATAACAATTTTGTAATTTTATAATATTAAGTTGCACAATGTTAGAGATTAAAAAATAAGATGTAAGTAATTTTCTATTGTTCTTTTAATATCGAAAATTAAAATAAAAAAATAAAGATAATTCAAACAAAAATAATTATAAAAATATTAATAACAAAAACAAAGATATTAATAAAATTATAAAATATATAATTCAGATTTAAGAATTAAAACATTTTGATGTTTTAACTTTCAAAAATAGAAAAAATAATCTTACCTCAGGATCAATAGTAACTATAGTTGCAGCTAAAAGAGTATCCTCAATCTTTTCGCTGAATTTTTCAGCTACGCTCCTTTTCCAGCGATCACCAACACTTGGTTTAATCTTATATAAGCCGCAAGGTATTGCTTGAGCCGGTAAATAGGCAAACTGTTGATGCAAATAATATACATCCTCGGGTGTATATGTCTTCATAGTACCATAATCATAAAAGAATACCTGTTTTGAAAAATAATTATTGCATATCAAAATATAATTTCTAAAAATTAATAACATTATTTGTCGGAAACTTAGTTATTTATTGCTTTAGTGCAGTTTATACCACACTTATACTAACCGTTACTCTAAAATCTGGTTTTACACTCCTAATGATCGCTCGGTGCCACCTATTGGCGTAAATGCACGCACAATTCAGGTCCTTTTTCAAGGCAATTTTGGCAATGGTATATGTACTTTTTTTATACTCGTAGAAGTCCCTAAAAGCAATATAATTCCGATAACTCAGATTTTACTATCAACATTAATAAAAAAATTTACAAAAATTGGTTAACTGCACATGTACTTACGATAAATCATCCATCATTTTATCAAAATGTCTTCTATTTTCTCGAAGATGTACCCAAAAAAAGTTTGGATGAAACACTTCTATAACATATACCCCCAAGTATTTTCTGTTGCGTTTTAATTCAACCACCGATATTTTGTCAACTTTATCGTCATAATTCATCACGTCATTAGGAGCGAAGATCCTGGTAATGGTAGGAGACTGTAAAATTACATAGATTATTATAATAATTGAATTATCATGTTGCATTACAAATATTAAATACCCTTCCAGCATTACAATAATCAACAAGAAATAATTAATTATTTAATTTAATTAACATTATATATAAAGAAGACACGTGAAAAGAAAATATTGATTTATTGTTATATGCTTTAAAGAATTATATAAAAAAAAACATTTAAAAAAAATACTATAGATGTATTTTTATATGTTAAAAAAATTGCTACTCATGAATTTGTCCTCGTACTTAAGTATACCATTAAAATTTCTATTATTTGAAATAAAAATTGGACACCAAAGGTTAACGCTTAGCTTGTACTTTCTACTAGGTCTTTAACAGTAATATTCGTTAGAATACATTAACAGTTTTAGCATTATTAATTATTATAGTTAACAATTTACTGCATAATCCACAAGAATATACTTTGCTGGCAAATTCTAAATTATAAAATATCACTAAACAAATACTGTTACGTACAACATCTGATGGAAACGGTGGATTATCCTCGTAATTACGCAAAGTTTGCGCTATATCAATAGGCTCTGGAACCACTGGCCTCTTGTCCGCGCTATAAAGCATGAAATCATCCATCTTGTCAACCTGCGTCATGTAGAAGATTTGCGGCAGGTAAGACGCGAATTCGCGCACACTGTCAAAGCCCAACTGGACGTAATTCAGGCACACCTTGTACTCGCGTAAGTATAAGTTGGGCAGATCGGGACACCAAATGCCGTCCGGATGTTTCCGCATCAGTTCCTTCAGTCGCAACTTTATTCTATCACTTATCAGTTGGGACATATCAACGTCGGCAGTCCTCATTTCCGTGTTGCCGTTGCCATTCATCATGGCAAAGGCTTCTTTATCACTTATTTCCCCATTCGTTTCTGCACGTCTCTGACAGTTACTGGCAGAATCAGCTGGCAGAAAATCGTCATCACTAAAATACTCTATACCATTCTCGTAATCCTCTTGTCCGGCAGCACATATAGTTGGTGTCGGAGGCGATTCCGAGTCGATCTGTGATTTGCTCGGCAACTGTGGCTCTTCCTTCGGAAGCTGCTGCTGGGCCGCTTTATGCGAATCGTTACTCAAGATCGGAAAAATCATGTTGCCATCCAGGCGCAACTGATGCGACAGCAATTGTAATTGCCCCCGTAATTGCTGTGCAGAAATACTGACGTATGGCACTGACCGCTGTACGATCGTCACAGCGTCCTGCAGACTCACACCGTTTGGATTGTCTTTTATATGTTGCAGAAGCTGACATAACATGTCAGGTGCGATGTGAAATTCCTGCACTGGCCTCGCGTAATGATGTGGACGCCGATTAAATGGCGGACGAAAACGGGGTTGGATGTATCTGGCTTTCGGGGGCTCTCTCATCCTCTGACGTGACACCAACGAGCTGACGTGCTTACTTTTCTCCGACGGAATCCCGCGTACGTAGTGACCGCCGTTGTACTGCTCGACAATGAAATGTTCCGGGAAACTTTGGAGAAATTCCACTAAATTGTAATATCCAAATTGACGATATGGTATACGGGTGTTCTCCGCATAATAATAGTCTCTCTCTAGAACCGGTATAGCTGTGGCGCCTTTCCGGGAGACCAATAACGCCAGGATAAGCTGGCGGATCTCTTCACGTTTCTCGGCCTTGCTCATCCTTGAAATCTCTGTTTGAATTTATAAAAAAAAAAATTTATTATCATCTCCTATCGTGAAATCAAAACGCT